GAACTCGATGCTTAACATCAAGCTCCAATTCAGCACAGTGCAAGAGTAACGATCCAGTTAGCCACTGTGACACTAGCGTCTCCTCATAAAGGTGGGTTCGCCACACATTCCTCAACAGAATCCGCCGCCACACTAAACACTGTTAGAGGGCCGAGAACATACGCGTCCGTTGTTGCTACCCATATGACAGAGGCACCTCCCATTACAACCCGCCGGCTGCGAAACAAGTTACTACTACCAATACCACAACGGGACCCAAGACCCCATAAATTGTCCAACCGAACAAAACAGCCACTGGTCCCTCAAAAAGGAGAACATGAAACACTACCATAATTCTATAACTGTTATATGCTCCAGTGTAACTGAATCCGGGAGCGAACTCCATGAAGGATAAGATACTAGACGACAAATCAGTGGGACTCCCTGTGTCAACTAATAGGAGTTCAAGCTAAACCAGTCAGTATGATGTGTCTCGTCCGTCACAAAAACTCCGTACTCTACAGTGAACCGCGGTTACTCCAGGTAACACTTCAATCTGGTAGTGATGTAGAGGTAGTTCTCTTGTCAGTCACTCGCCTCCGTACCACCACATTTACTGTTCGAATATTTCCAAATTTTCTTTGGAGCGAACGCTAGAAACGCAAACAAAATTCGGATGACTTCCATAAACAACAAGACACGAAATCTATCCTTGTTCACGGTTTCCCCGAGCTCCAGTCACTAAGCCAGCTAGAGGTCAAAACGCATGACTGGGATGAATGGCGTTTTATTCGTGAAATACCCTCATTCGAAAATGTTATTGCCAATTCGACAGCAAGATTACCGCTATCACCTAACTACAAAAGGTGTGGTCCCCGAGTGATGAAAGTATCATTGCACTCCGAACTGATGGTAGGACATGTGATCAAAATGTGACACAAAAAGCGTAAAAGGCTGCCATCCGAAATACGTATAAAGGCAATAGACACCGGGCCCTAGATAGACAAGGTAACACTAAGAAAGCAACTTACCACTACAATTCTGTCACCATGTAACTCAGAACGGAGAAAATGCCAAGACACACCGACAGCTGAAGGAAGACAGGATGCTCACCCTCTTGTTGGCGCTGAGAGCTCTATACAACAACGTGAATTCGCCCTAGGGCATGCGTCATCGGTCCTACAAAAATACAATCAGCAGCCGACCTCGCAATGGTCGGCATAGACTTTCACCGGAAACTAGCATTCACAAAAACGCTTCTGACCACCGATGCTCTCACCTGCTTGTATACCAATGTACAAGGTCTTCTCAGTAAGCTAACCGAACTTCGTATTCGTCAGGTATCCACGCCTTAGGACCTAGTTATGGTCACCGAAACATGGATGAACATGGAGATCACGGATGCGGAGATTGCACTACCAGGTATGAATTCTAAACGAAACGATTGATCAAGCAGAGGAGGGAGAGTGCTCCTGTATTATCGATCCGACCTGCATGTTAATGTCATTGAAGACCCAGAAACGAAAGTCGTCGATTCGCTTTGGTGTCAGATGCACCCAAGATATGGTGATGTGTTTTTACTAGCAATAGTTTACAGCACTCCAATGTCCACCTTGAAAATGGATCAATGCCTAACTTCTGCGATGAAATGAGTTCTAGTACGACCACACAGTCACGTTCTTCTAGTGGGGGACTTCAACCTGCACACAATCGAAGTTCCAGCATCGCACTGCGAACAATTCAAGGCTGATTTTCAAGAGGTGATCGCCAATGTACCTTTGTACAACCATGTCAACCCCCTCCCCACGCGATTCCGAACGGGTGACACCCTCTGTTTTGGACCTTGTGCTCTCCAACGAGGAACTAATGGTCGACACCGTGACCATAGATGCACCACTTGGCCGTAGCGATCACGTGATGTTGCTCTTTCGTTACACTTATTACTGGGAGTAGATAAGTGAGAACAACTTGGAAACATATGTCGTTTTACATTACGATAAACTGTCCAAGTTCGTTCAAAAAGCAGACTGGTCCTTCCTGGCCGAGAAGCCGCCCAATTTCGCCTGGATATTGTTCGACACCCAATTCACTGAGTTAGTGGCAAATGCGTCAGAAAGCAAAGTCCTTCGTCCGAAGCAAGTGAATTCGATTCTGAGGAGGTGTACTAAACAGTGCATGGCCTTAAGGGATTCATACTGGCGCGCTTACAAAGTCTGTCCAAGTAACCTGACCTGGGGTGCTTATACAAGTCAACGAAACCACTGCGTCAAGTTGATTCGCGAAGACAAACTCCAACGTCAATAGAACTTAGCGGCGAAATTCAGTACAAATCCCAAGTTGCTGTATAGACACGTCAACAAGTTCCGCAGAGTGCAGCGCCGGGATCCCGGTTTTACGTGCAACAGATGGTCTGGAGCAAACCGCACAGGATGCAGCCAAAGTGCTTCGTCAACACGTTATCCATACTTTCCGGAGTGAATCATCATTTCATCCACTTTTTACACAGCTCCCATCGCCACCAGGGTTAAACCACGTATCGTTCACGGCAGCCAGTGTGCTGAAAACACTAATGTCATTGCGCGTGCACAGCTCAGCTGGTGTGGACGACCTCAAACCGAAGGCATTGGAGACAGAGGCCATGAACCTTGCCGAACCATTAGCACGGTTCTTGCAACGTTGTCTCGACGAAATGCAAGTTCCCACAACGTGGAAAACTGGAGTAGTCACTTCTATTTATAAAAGTGGTAATCCTTCGGAGCTCTCGAACTACCGTCCAATCACTCTCCTCCCAGTTTTATCCAAAGAAATGGAACGTATAATTGCAGAGGCGCTCATGGGATATCTTGAGAGAAACAATATCCTAGTGTCACCGCAACACGGATTCCGCCGTAATCGATCCTGTACTACAAACTTGCTGCTAGCCCGAGCAAGCTGGACAGAGTCAGCCGATGTGAGAGTGGGAGTCGACGTTGTCTACCTGGATTTCTCGAAAGCGTTCGGTCGTTTGGACTACCACATTCTCCTGCACAAGCTTCGAAGCTATGGTATCGGTAACATACTCGGTTGGATCAGCGACTTCCTCCTCAACGTCAGCTGAATGTGAGAGTCCGCAGCTTCACTTCCGACCTAATTGACGTCCAGTGCAGCGTGCCTCAAGGATCGGTACTGGGGCCACGTTTATTCCTCATATTCATTAACGATCTTGGCAATATCAAGCGAAAATCTACCGTGCGGCCGCATTTTAACTCGGCTCTCGCTTTGCTCTCTGTGGCCATTCTAATTCTCCTCACACAATATTATGCGTGCGCTCGTTCGAACCAGTTCGACGAGTTCTACTCAGTGCTTCCCAACTCTTGGATCTAACCTGTGTGGATTATACTCTTGCTCCAGTTCCCAGTTTTCGGCATATTCCTTGCCGAATTTCACTTGTGTAATTACATCAAACTGGTTTTTCGGAAATGATTTTGGTCTCATTCGGAAGAAGAAGCTGAGAGCTCCCAAACTACGCGGCAACCATGCGTGAAAGTTGCAGCATAACAAAGTTACAGTCTTTTTTCTCCACTCATCAACTGAACAGCTCTATGGACGCTTATCAGCGCTTCACCTGCATCATCGCTTAAGGCAGGCCGATTAACACACGCTGCCGCTTCGTGTGGGTGTGTGTGCACTACTGCAAGTCGAATGATCGCTGCACCCGACAGTCTACGCGTTACGACCTCCATCTGCCTCTACCGCCTGACCTTGGTGAGACTGAACAACTCTCAATTCGTGTGTGTGTTCTGAGCTATCCGTGCGTCACTCCTTTCGCAAAGAACACTCATCAAGGTGAGGGTTTGAGAAGCCTTGCTGTAAACAATAAGAGAAGGACTAGCATTCAAATGGCTCAACGTCGCCTATGTCGCGCAGATAATTGCAGTAGTCCTTAAGATCGGAGCAACCTGTTCTAGCTGCATTAGATTATACTATTCGCAATGTGTAGGCAAATCCGTCCAAGAAGTCAGGCAGACAAACCAAGTTGCTGACACAATTTGGTTTTGCCCAACATGTCAATTCATCCCAGTTTTCAACTGTTTATTTTGCTCATGAAAAAGTGCGATAGGATGACTGAAATAATCGCGCATTTTGTAAATACTAAGATCGATCCCACGGAGGTAAATATGGCCACGATAACACCTCACCCGGCCAAAGTAAGCTCTGAGTCTAAAGCGAAGAAAAGAGCTAGATGCTCCAACCGCACTGCAGGGTCTGTGACTCTAAATCCACTGGGTCACCTCACTCCCATAAGCGGACAAGCTTCAAACAAGCCAACTTCCACATCTCCAACCATAGACGCTTCACTTGGAGATTCAGCCATACAACAGACAGCTCAGAGCCGAAGGCAATCCGGTGCGGATAACAAACAGGTAACGTACGCATCGATTGCCTCAACAAACACATTGGGAGCGACACACATACATCCATCTTCAGTACCGAGCACGCGTGGTGCAAAGCAGCTTTCACCGTCAAATCCAGTGGTGCCTTCGAAACAACCTGAATTGTCGGTAAAATGTATAAAGTCAACACTCGCTAGACAAAACCACGCTGCGCTAACTCTCGTGTGCACCAATGTTCCCGAGTCCAAATCTGGCACAATAAAAGGCAAGTTGCAAGACGATCGCAACCAGTGGAGTTCCATCTGCGAGGCGATTGGTATTCGGGTTGAGGCTGCTATGCAGCAACGCGTAGCGCGTCACCCGACCTCAGTGTGCTCTGGTGAACCTCGAATTGCTCGAGGAACACTAGACTCAGCAGATGAGACAGAGGCTGTCCTGCTCTCAGCAGTTCGTCTTCGCAACTCACCGAGCGGAGTGTGCATATTACCTGATCTACCTTGGAAAGATAACCCAAAAGAAGCGGTTGACCAACGCGGCGTTCCTAATAGGGATAGCAAGAAAACAATATTTGTTCATGGTGTTCCCGAGCTTCTGCATTCTTCTGATCACGTTGCGCGAACACATGATCGAGAGCAGTGGTGCTACATCCGCGAAGCACTCTCTGTTGACAATGTTATTGCCAAATTCCTGACAAGTGTTCCGTCATCACCTAACTACAAGGGCTGCGGTCCAAGGCTAATGAAAGTAATACTACACTCCGAGGGAATGACGCAAGTTCTGTTAGATTGCTGGTTAAGGTTTCGAGCTAGGATGCCAACAGGAATCCGGCTAAAGGCAGCAGGCGAACGACCAAAAGTGGGAAGCAATTCCATTGAACTTGCAAACGCTACAAATTCTTTATTTGCACATTCCTGCGGAGAGACCGACACAACAGCGTCCAAGGCACACAACAGGACCGAGCACAGCACGAGTGAAACGACTGTTCAGGAACGCTCAATAATGTCATGCAACACGACTGAAATACACAAATCCAAAAACGATGAATGGCCGGCCACCTAACGGTCGGCTTTCAAACTAACACAAAGTTGACATCCATCAATGAACCCCTAAAAACAAAAGCCCTATCTTGCATGTACACAAACGCTCAAGGCCTTCTAAGTAAGTTGGCCGAACTTAGAGAACTCCATGTCTCACAACCGCTGGACCTCGTCATGATTACAGAGACATGGTTAAACCCTGAGATAACCGACTGTGAGACCAATTTACCCGGTAGGTCGCTGCTTCGGACCGATAGAACCGGAAGGGATGGCGGTGTGATTCTTTACTATAATACAAACCTCCGATGTGAAGTTATCGATCATCTGGAAATCTGAGCTCCTGATTCGCTTTGGTGCCGCCTATGGTTGCGAAACAAGGACACATGACTATAGCCGTGATTTATCGCCCGCCAAACTCAACGTCAGAAATGGACTCCAAACTGAACCACGTTTTTCAGTTTGCTTTGAACAAGTCCTACACACACATTCTTATCACTGGGGAATTTAACGTCCACAACATAGAAACGCCGGCAACCGACGGTATGCAGTTTAAAGCCTGTTTACCAGAAGTTATTGCTAGCCACTCTCTTTACAACCACGTAACCTCTCCCACCGGATTTCGAAATGATAACAAGCCGTTGATAATGGATCTTGTGCTAACTAACGAAGAACTCATGGTTGACGGGATAGTTACAAGCACACCACTGGTTCATATTGATCATGTTACTCTACTCTTTGACTACATATGCTATGCGGAGTACCCTGAAAAGGAGGATGATAAAGTGCATACTGTCATGCACTACAATGTGTTATCTAAGCTTGTTAAGGATACATCTTAGACTTTCTTAACCGAACGCCCCTCAGATGTTGCCTGGGAAATATTTACAAGGACGTTTGGCACACTGGTAGCGCACGCATTGGAACATAAGTCCTTCCAACCCAAAAACAAGCGTAAGTCGTTTCTGAGGAGCAGAACACGTAAATTTATGTCCCAGGGGGACATAAACGAACTAGTCAGTTGCTGGGAATTTTCAGCGGACGTCATCGAAGGCTGCGCGGCGATCTCATATAAGCGTAGCAAATATTGAGTGACCCAAACCACGTATGCCGCCATTTGCTGAAACCTAGCCACAACACGCAGCTCAGGGGTAACTGCTTAAAATTGAAGGAACAATATAGCCGTCTAGAGTGTCGACGGAATTACTTTTCCCTTCGGGTTTGCAAACGCTGGAACGCACTCCCAGTCTCAGTTGTATCCTCTCCTACCTTGGATGTTTTCAAAAAACGATTAGATGTTGCATTTACCTCCCAGCATTTTGTTATCTAAACTCCTCTATTGTGGATTAAGCCAAGCATGCTTCTCTACAGGATTTATGTATCAAATGGACACAATTGAGCGACCATATTTTACTTTTCTCACGCCTTGTATCAACGATCACTCTACCCCAGTGTATTTCTGAACGTGTACGCCCGTATTTTTACGTTTACACTGATGTTATTAAAGTATTCATCTCGGCAGACGTTCGGTAAATAACCCAGATATCTTTGAGTTCATCATATTCACCCCAACCATCCTACGGGAAATGTAAAGCAGATGCTTTTATCCCGTGATTAATGGCTGTTCAATCATTGTTCATTGTACTGCATTCGAATTTCCTACTCTTTGCAGGTGGCATCAGATGATCACATAGCATTGCAAAGTGATCTCGACAGGAATTATGCGTGTACATCCGACAATCGGCTCCAGATCAACGTGACCAAGTGCAAAGTCGTAAGCATACGCCATCAGCTTATTTGTGAATATGGACTTGGGGACCAGCAGTTACAACGTGCTTCCCAAGGAAACGACCTCGAGGTGATCGTGTAGGACGGCTTCGGTTGCTCAAGACAGGCTGAAAAAGAATCAAAAAGAGCCAGCCAAGATCTTCGGCTCTTATGAAGGGCTTTCGGATATTATTAGCCATCAATCTTTCCGCAAATGCTGAACTACTACGTGAGACCTAATGTGGAATATGCGATCGAGGTCTGGCGTCCCTTTCGCAAGCGCGACGTTGATGCACTTGAAGCACCACAAAGTAGAGCGACCAAACTCGTTAGAGGATTGTTTCATCTCTCCTACTAACGCAGACTGCAGTCTCTGATTGTACAGTGGTGAATATCGACGTCAGCGAGGAGACCTAATCATGGTTTAGTTAATACTGACGGTATTGCAACTACTTGCAGCTGAGCTAAAATATCAACCTGAGAGGCCATCAGCTCAAACTGGCTACGCATTACAGTCGAAATGATTGTCGACGCAACGTCTTCTCGCTCCGTGTGTTCCGTACGTGCAATGCCCTTCCCACTCACGTTATCCTTGCCCCCACACTAACGCCTTTCAAAAACGCCTTGATGAAACTCTTTCAAACTTGCATTACTTGATATATCCCGTTCCATTTGGAGGACGAAACGACATAAGCCTAACCAAATGCTTAACGGCCCTCTCCGCAATTTGGCGGTGAGGATACATGCAGTCATGTCCATGTGATTAGCCTGGATGTAGCTAAACTGGATTAACCTACCATATCTGTCAAATAAAGAAACAAAAGAGTGAGCGTTATCGTTTTCTTTTTTATTTCTCACGCACTTACAGAACAAGAACAGCTCTCCACATTATTTTGCTGGTGCACATCCCATTCCCACTTAAAACTATTGTTATGCAGTAGTGCATTTAACTCGGTGGACGCTTGAAATAACGATTTACTTATTCGATGATCCATCAAATTTTAATTTTTACTTCAACCATCCTACGGGACTTGTCAAGCACATGCTTTTTACCCGTTACAAATCAGTGTTCATTGTTCATTGCCGTTTTATTTCGATGCTTAGCAACTCCCAGCTTACCCACATACATCGCACGCCAATTCGGCTTTCGACAATAGTTCCTTTGTATCTACCTCTTGCTCATGTTCAAAGAATCCGAACAGTGGACTACCTTCGACCTCAATTATATTTCAGCTGGCAGCTTTCAGAGATAGAAGCTTTATGCAGAGAGGACAATAGACTGGCCTAGCGCGTACCTTGGAGTCCCTCGCTATTGATATTTGTTGCCTTTCCGAAACTCAGTTACAGGACTACAGCGAGGTAGTTAAGTTGACGTTTGCTACTAATCTCGGAACCGAATATTTCCCGCATTTTTCTGGTGACACAGATTCTGCTGCCGCTGGCTTGGCTGAGGTTGGTATCGCACTGTGACAAGGATGAGGCCATGCTGCCCGATTGGTTCCTAATTGATAGCCGATTATACGCGGTTCGATTTCAAGGCTCATGCAGTATCGGTAGACATCGTACAGAGACACAATTTGTTTGTCATCTCCACCTTCGCTCCAATCGCCTGTAGTTGTGCACCAGTTAAGGACGAATTTTATCGCGGACGCCAGCGGCTTTTGAGTCAAACTGAAAAGCAGATATCATCATTCTTACCGGAGACTCCAATGCCCTGGTCGGTTGCGTGCTGCTTTGCAAACGGCACATTTTTGGCCGTCATGCCAATGTCGAGAGTCGCTCTGATAACGGAGATAGACATCTTACATAGGAGGACGAGCGCCTGTTCCTCGAGCACAAAATTTAGACATTCGAGGAGACAAACGCCACCAGCCAACCTCTTCGCCAACGCAAGGGTGGTCACAAATTCGTCACATTGCACTCAGCTACAGATGGCGAGGCAGTGTACGGGATCACAGATCGATTTGGTCCACCCACCAATCAAAATCCTTCTCTGGTCTGTGTGGACAAATGGCGGAGCTACGCAGTTTCCTCGAAACTAACGCATGGTACGCTGGATCCCAAAAGACTAGAAAGTCCCTCCATTCAACTGGCTTATCAATCCTGCTTATCAGATGCGTTTGCTATTGTTTCAGAAACAGACGTCGAACATCACTGGGATTTCTTGTTTTCTTCCGATCAATCATACAGCGGAATCGCTGGGTGTCCTATGAGAGGTTGGATTGCTCACTCTTTGTGATTGTTTGACCGTGGACGAGCTATCGCAGCTGATTCGAGCAGCAATAAAGTTAACCCCAACTGCACCCGATAACTTAAGCGAAGTTTGAGTAACGATCGTGACACTTGCTGGTCTCAGCGCACTTTGGAGATGGAGACAGAAGCTCTACGGAAATTTTCGCAATCTTCCCCAGATCATTCGGACCACTGACCCCAAAAAACGCGGTGTCAGTGAGGCTATTTGCCAGATTGATAGCTCACCAATCACTATGTTGTGTAGGCTCACGGACTGCTAGGCTGAGCACTTCGCTCTTAATTCATTTGGTTTCCTCCTTCTAGTTGGGTAATAATTATGCCTAATTACATGCCACAGAACATCTGACTGGAACCACCCACTGAAGTTCAGGTCTGTCTTGAGCATAGGCAGTTAATGTGATTAAAAGCTGCTGGCTCAGACGGACTTCCTCCGAAGCTGTTCAAGTACGGTGGCGATGCACTTGTCAACCAGTTTACGGCTCTATTCTTCAAGATCTGGTGTGAAGAAAAGACTTCATCTTCTTGGAGCGAGTCGATTTTCTACCCTATGAAAAAGGTGCTCCTAATTCATGAGCCAACCATAGAGGAACTAGTCTAATATCCGTCTCCTCTAAATTTCTAACATTCATTCTACTGCGCAGGTCAACACTGATTCTAGAACTACGTTCATGTGAGGAGCAGGCTGGTTTCCGCCTCGGTCAAGGGTGTATGGGCCACATGTTTACGCCCCGCCATTTTCTCGAACAAAAGGCCATCAGTAGTACGGTGGTACACAGCGGCAACATTGCGCTGCCGCGCAACCACCACCAGTCGCGCATGGGCTAAGAATTTGCCTTGGTCGTCCTGTCCCTACGCATGATGGCATCCGCGCCCTCGGATTACATGGTAGGTTTATGATCCTTAAGACTACGAGCCGCCACCTTTGTCGCCAGCCTAGCATTGTCACTTTTTTGGACACCCGAGCTGCGTTAGACTCGGTCGACCGGCCTGTTTTATGGGGCTGTCCACGAAGGATTGAGGTACTCGAAAGGTATACCACCATCCTGCGGGTTTTATACAACAGTGTCTCTGGTAGAATGTGAGCTTACGGCAAGCTCTCTTCACGTTTCACTGTCA